ATAGAAGAATTTATGTTCGTGAGAGAGAGAGAGAGAGATAATGGTGAAAGTAAGATACTTTTTTTTTTTATTTTTTATTATAGAATATCAGTACTCGACTATAACGAAGAACATCAATTTCAGTAAATATCTTGAGTCGTTAATTTAAAAGTCGTTAATCACAATTCGAGATAATTTTACGTGTCTACTCGATGCATATCACTTGGATTCTTTTGTACACGTTAATTCGAGCGAGGAATTATTGATACTCCGATCCGTCTCGTCATCGTTCTTCTGTACGACCACCACAACAACGCGTCTCCTTGATTGCACCCAGCCGAGACGTTTCTTTAACGAATAAGTCGACTCCATTACGTCGCCGCATGGAACATTCACATTCTCTCCTTTCCCTCGCAAACATTTCTTTTTTTCTTTTTCTTTTCCTTATTCTTTTTCTAACTGCTTTCTCTCCGTTCTAATGCTCAAGGCACAAATTCATCCAAGCCCATTCTCGAGGAAAAGCTAAACCACCCCCACGGGTTTAACCGCATACGGCCCATCTACCTAACTAACACATTAATGGTCCCCCTCGTTTTTGTCTACGTTCAACAAACACCTGTACTGCGACGATTTTCTATCTGCGCAATTTCACGGTAATTCGAAAGAAAAGCTAGTAATAATGTGCCATTGTTTTTCCTTTTTGATTAGCTTTTAAAAAGAAAATAGAAAAAGAAACTTGTAACCTTAAAAAATACAAATTTATAAAATTATAATGCAGCACCATCATCGTATACTAACAGAACCAAATTAGTAAAATAACCTTAAATAACATATCCCTAAATTGACAATAAAAAAATGATAAATGTCGTTGCATCTGATAAAAAAACGGCACGCGACTTTCAACCCTTTCATTATCATTGCTTTATTCTCCCTTTCCTATCGCTTTTATCTACTGTATATATATATTATATATTCGTGTACACGTATACATAAGTCTATTTACCTCACCCTCTCTAAATTGAAACACGTTCGCGTTCTTCGACATCTAAAAAAGGGCGGGAGCTCAAAGCCACCCTCTGTGTCTTCACTCCAATGCTTTATTTCTCTTATTCCCTCCTCCCCTTCGTTCGAATCACCATCGACGACGAGCAATTATTTAGAAATCCATCAGTTTCACCGACGGATTAAGCGTCGTTCGTAAACGATTAACACCCTAAAAATGATCGATCAATTGATCGGAATGATCATCCCTTGTCCTGTCTCTCACAAAACGCACGTGTGCAACAACTAACGAGGTATAAATTCTTTAATTGGTAATATTTATTTGTTGATTTTTAAAAAGAGAAGAATAATTTAATTGTTTCGAAGATTAGAAATAAATTTTGAACTTACGATGCAACCTTTTCGCGAGTGAAACATCTTTCACAATAAGAAAAAAAAGATTCTCTTTCTTTCACCTTCCATCGGTTTTTTTTCTTTCGTGCAAGCAGCGTGGACAGAAGGCGGTCGCTATGGAAACGGAAGATCAAGAGAGAGTACAAGGCTACCTCGTTGGGGGTTGTGCAGTGGCTCAAGGGTGGCTCGGAAAGGGGGTGGCTTGGAGGTGGCTTGATTTCTTCGTGATAATGGTCGCCATTATCACGCTATCCAATCGTATTCAACTTCTCTGTCTCCTCCTATACAATTCTTTCCTTTCATATTACTTATTATATCCAAAAATGGAAAGGAATGTTCTTCTTCAATTAAAATTATATCAATTAAGTTAGGTTAGGATTTATATTATAATATTTACAAGATAAAATCAGAAAGCTTTGAATTTTCAAATAAATGCCGAGATTGCTGGTTGGACAAGTGTCCGAGCAAAGAGTATTCTTTTTCCATGATTTCGTCTCATCACTATTCACACGATTTTCTAAGGGCCATGTACAAGTATCGCGTATAACCCCGTCTATACGGAAGATCTTTCTAGACTACGAGTCGTAAGAGAAACGTGCTCTCAACATCAACGATATAGGGTGTTGCATACATACGAGTAAGAAGTGTTTCCTCAAAAATTGATGCGCGGTCTGGCTCGAAGCCACGAAAACTAGATACCAGTATCCAGATGCCGCATCTCGTATTCATGGTGGACCGAAAAAGTGGGCTGAGAAATAAGGAATACAGTTGAGAGAAGCCAACACGAATTCGCTTCTCTTCCCCTTTGATTATTATATATATATATACATATATATATATATAATATATCGACGTTTTTCAAAAGCAGATTGCCAAAATGATATACATATAACAATGTGCCGAACGATGTTACGAGCATTGGTGGAAAAAAGCGTGGCCACCTTGCGGGATGGTTAAAATACCACAAAGCCTTCCCCAAATGTCAGCATTAATATTTGATTATCTACCTCTTCTGGCGCAGCCCAATGGTAGAAGCAAACTCGGACGTTTCTATGCTTATTACGCTTATTGTTATCGAGGCCGATAGAACTATTGAAATATTAAAATCCGCTTTTCCGTTATTTCTAAGCCCGATCGAGAGCTCATGTTTATAGGCGAGTTCTTTTCTATCGACGAATCGATAACAAATATTACGAATAGAAGTTTTTATTTTTTCCTTTTTTTGTTTTCTTTTTGATATGATACTCATTTTCGAAATCGAAAATGAAGAGTTTCGCTTAGAACGGAAGATGATCGTAATCGCAAAATAATGATGGGGTTGGCACGCTCTCATCTTTCGTGCTAACTCGGTAGGTGTAGCTATCTTCGTCTCGACTTGAACACGGTAAAGCACCTGTCTGTAGTACTCGAGTTGTGTAGTAGAGCACCTCAGTACAGGTGCCTCCTTAACGTACCTGGTGAATGGCCTGTCTCTCCTCCTTACTACTAGTAGCTTGTACGTGCACGAAAAAGATTCGGTCGCTCGCACAAAGCTCGCATCGATGACCTTTATGAATACTGAGGAGCACGTGCTGCCAACGATAGACACGCGATTGCCGGACTGACAGAAAAGTTATCCTACCGAATTAATGAGTCATATATCGACGATACTGCAATACGTTTGTAATTTCGTGGAATACTTCAGAATTAATGTGTGACCGATTCTTGGCCACGCGAAATATCCTACTCGTCGGAAATAATTATAAAATCGATATATCTGTCTAGATAATTTCATTCCTTACTAGTAAAATGTAATGTTGGTGGATGATTATGAGTTGGTAGAATTAAACGGATTTTCTAACGTCAGATGATGCTTTTTTAAATGGTTTGTGCCAATAAATCGTCTCACTTCGTAACTGACCAAAAACGAACTCGAACTCGAACCCGAACCCGAACTTGACCAAGCGAACGTGTACGGCCGAATCGAATCGGTGGTGGTGAACGACGACGGAGCGAGAAAAAAGGGGCATGTGCAAGTCGCAACTGTTTTATGACTCTCCAGAGAGGGGTGCTCCGCATTTATTTGCGATCGTATCTCTACAAAGTCCGTTGCGATATTTCAACATTTGCGAGCACCGAGTCGCGACCAACTCGAAACATATTCATTTCTTACCTTCTTAAATTGACAATGATAAAAATTACCTTGATACGAACGAACGAACGAACGAACGAACAGGAATCGAACGGGAATCTACTCTCATGTCAAGAATATTTGTAGTCGTCTTCGTCGTTGCAATAACGATGTCGTTGATATTCATTACGACGATTCCCGCGACGTTTCTCAGCACCCATGAATTATACACGACGATTTAATCATTTTTTTTCTTTTTTCTTTTTTCTTGTTCTTTCATCAATTGCTCTGAGCGTTATTACACTTCCACTACTCTAATGTGCACCAGAAAAAGTCGGACATTAGCGAACTATAATTAGATAGATATCCGCGCGAGGTCGTCGTTCATATTTAATGTAAGCGTGTGCCAGTTTCTAAAGACAGTCCTTCGTTCAATAATGAAGCGATCGCATCAAGGATGTTACATTGTTCGCGTCGCCTTATTTCTTCTTTGGCGCAGTTACCTAAATGGAAAGACATTTCGTTATCTCTACACCGTAACGCGTTTCTCTCTTTTATTCTATATCTATATCTATATATTTATCTGGCATCCATTTGCGAGGGCTAAGAAACTCCTGTATATCCAGCGTTGTCCAGCGTTGTCCAGCGTCTTAGGCGAAACGCAAGGAAGAAGAGCGGAAAGGTGGGATTATCTGAATACTGTCGTTCCGGGCCTGAGTTGCGGCACCCCAGGGTGTAGTAGGTGGCCGCCCTTAGGGTCGGTCACCAGTCACCCTCCTACCGATGCTCCTCTAACGTATGGTGGTCATCTTCTCACCGAATTACCACCATCTTCTTTTTCCTTAGCCGATGCTCTCTCCCTAAAAGGGTCCGTCAAATAGATTATTTGAATATCAACCGATCGAACGAAAGACCACGGACAATGAACGAGCTACCGTTCCTTTCTTCTCTTCTATTATTCTTTTTGTTTGTACAGAAAATCCTGAAGAAGGATCAAGAAAAACTATTTACCATAATTCTTAGAGTTGTATCCGTATAACTTAATCAAACCTTGTCACAAAGTATTATTAACGTAAAATGAAAAAGAGACGTGCTTATCTTGCTTTTATCGCGGAAGTGGAAGCGTGTGACCGAAATGTGGTCTACTATAATTAAATCAAAAAACCAGTCCTTTTCGATCGTACGCATAAATAGAGTTTTTTGATCCGTTAGTGCAGATTTCGTGTAGACTGGAGTTTCGCGAGATCGAACCAATGACGAATCAATCCTCCGGATAAAAGGTAGGAAAAAGAAATAAGCTTCTTGGAGTTTTCTTTTCTAAAATCACGTTTTACTCGTCCTCCTCGAGCTAACTCATAAATACTGATGCGCACGTGACTGTCGCGCGAGTCCTTTTGAAACGGTTTCCCGTCAATTTGAAAGCAAGTGGAGAGGGGCAGGCGAAAGGGAAAAGTTTCTTCGTGGAGTTTTAACGAAACTCGTCACTAACGAGAGCCCGTTGCACTTTTTGTTACAGCCAGTGATGCGCTCGGCCGAATCGATAAGGAGCCAGCCTCGCCGGAATCCATACAAGGTGAGTTTGTACGAAGAGTTTCATCGTCCGTCTGTCGTGTCGTCTTCCTTTCCTTCTCTATAAGATTAACGTACGAAACGCGTTTAACCTTCGAATAGCCGGAACATAAATTTTCCAAACGAATAATGTGTGCTTTACCTCGCCTCACCTTAGCGAGCATCGACGCATCGCATCGCATCGAATCGAATCGAATCGAATCAAATTGAACGATGCGCGCGAGTCTCTCTCGCCCACCCCCCTTCTTTTCTTACCTTTTCTTTTGATTTTCAAATGTACCACGACAAGAACAATTCCCGATTAACTTTCTCATGCGCGTCTCCAATTGGAATTCGAGAAACGATTCGAGAACGAAAAAACCATTACTCCAACCACTAACCTAATTTATGCGCTTGCGATCGAATCGCGAACCTTGCACGGCCCAATTCAAGAGAAAATTCATCATACGCTAGCTCTCTCTCTCTCTCTCTCTCTCTCTCTCTCTCTCTCTCCCTCTCTCTCAGTCATATTCATGGACTTCAACGACGTTGAAACTTTTTCTTCTTTCAATCCTTTCGGTAAATATAACAACTTCTTCGACTAATTCTTTTCCACGTAAATTATATCATAAAGACAATTATATTCAGCGAGTAACTACGCCCTACGACTTCTTGGAGCATTGTCATTTACCTCGAAGAATTCTTTCGCGGCGTATAACCGACCTTTTAACTTCGAACATTATTATCCTGGTTGCTCACGGCAAGCAAAGTCTGAGGAGGGTCGGTCAAATCGCTTGAATTTTTGTCAGCATCGTAAAACTCTGCTCTCGGATTTCGTGAAAATTCCCATCTTTTCGTCCATTATCGTCTTTATTATCTTTTTCTTCGGACACATAATTGACAGACTCTGACCATTCGTGGAACTTCTAAGCTCGCTTTCAGAACGATCAATTTAAATTACAAAATTCTCACGGACTTAAAGATTGAAATAAGAGAACGTCAAGATTCGTATGGTGGTTTATCAACACAGGCGAATAATTATAAATCACCCTATATTCTTTTTAGTATTATTTGTAAATTCGCAATCATTTATTCGAAGAAAATGATTTTCTTGTTTCATTGATCCGTGAACGTTTTTTTCTTGAACACGTGCTGAAGCGTTACGAAGGCGTAACACAATACCATTGAAAAAAGAATGACGTTAATGAGACGTTCGAAACATAAGAAATTATTTTTATCTATAAAAATATAAAAGAGCGCAACTCACGCGTTAAGTTTTATCCACTTTATATTACTCTCGACTTAAATTCTTAGACCAATTCGATCTCGTCTAGTGAAAAATGCGAGGGAACCTGATATTTAAAATATTAAGTAATTTAAGAAAAAAGAGAAATAAACTAAGAGAGAATATTAAGAAGGATGCTACGAATCGATCGTTAAAATCGTTGAATTTGAAAGAAACCATTGACGAAGAAAAAAGAAAAAGAAAAACGCGGAAACGTGGATGAGCTTTACACAGGTAAAAAGGTTTTCATCGAGGGGCAGGACTCTGGGAAAGTCTGAGAGCCGGTCGTAAGGAGGGTATTCCCTGATTTCTGTTCTTAGCTCTTCTAAGTTGGTCTTCTACTATCTGCCTACGACGAAATGAACGAGACAAATGGAGAAACAAGAAAGTAATCAGCGTGCTCGAAAAGGCGCGTCGGTGGGGTGATGATGACGGTAACGGCGCAACGTTGAGGGCCTATGGGAAAAAAGAGAGAGTGAAGTAGTAGTAGGTAGAAGAGATCATCTTGAACCTGTGTTTTACTTTATAGCATTTAGTCCGTTGTTTGTCTTATTGCTATTAGCCTCGGCCAATTAGTAATTTTATTTTTGATGTGGATTCCATGAATCGAGCACACTATGAACGCGCATGCGAGAGAGAGAGAGAGAGAGAGAGAGAGAGAGTGAGTGCTAGCGAGGCCAAGCGAAAACGTTCACAGAAGAGAGAAAACAAGAGGAGAGGAAAGAAGTGGATAAGAGAGGTAGGGTTTAAGGGAAAAGGGAGGATTAGGAGAACAGAGTAGGGGGTACGCAATACGCAGGATCCTCTGAAGGAGGGGGGTATGTCATTAGGAGTCATTAATATCACGGACCTCTGTAATTTGACACACTTCCGATCGCCTAGCGCCATCTTCGCTGCCACCCGCTCCATTTTTTTTTCTTCTCTGGACAACCCCCTCCACCCATTCCTTTTTTTCTCTTTCCTTTCGCGAATAAGAACGTCAAGAGCGTTGAAACCATCGACGAAACTTCAACACAACGTACAACATCGTGCCTACGATATTCGTGTCATTTCGAATGGACCGACAGTGATTCTCAACCATGTTTTTTTTTCTACAAAAAATTCTCAAGCTTAAACAATTTCAATATAGCTAACATTAATATGGGAAATGAAGTTTCACATGTTTTCTTATAATGATGATTATATTAATATAATATATGTATCTAAAGGAAATCAAATAACTTTTTAAATGAGAGTTACATTTACATATTTAAGCACATATACACTTAATAAATCATTTAATATTTTATACAAATACTTTTGAAATTAAAAAACTTAATAAGTCTCTTATCTAACTCTTGTTGAATATTTCATTCGACTCACCTACCGATCTTACTCTTTCCGTTGCTTACTTCCAATTAACTGAGAGAATGAACATATAATTACTAAGAAATAGAGAAACGGATATATATACAGGTTTTCTTAAAAAGAGTGCATGAAAAAGAAGAAAGTTTTTCTATTTGTTTGAAATATTGAAATAAATGCATGCGTGGATCAAATGAATTGAAACTAAAAGTCATTTATTTCTTGTTGTTTTTTTCTTTTCATATTCTCTTTAGGATTGTTATTCTTGAATAATCGTGCAAAGTGTAAATAGATATTTTAATGTATTTACGCTTTTGGTAAATTAACTCCCCACTTTAATAGGTTAAAGTAACTTATTTCCAAAGAAATTCGATCTTTTATCGTTTATACCACTTTCTTACATCAGCTCATTTTCTCTTACTATAATTAAGAAGGAAAAATACCAAGAAGATACTACCACATATGGACGATAGCTGCTCGATCTTAGTAAATCAAAGTTGAATCGATCAACTCGTTGCAAAATCTCACGCTCCTAGTGAGTCAACGCATCGCAACGGATGCAGCCAAGATCGATATGATTTGCGGATGCTAATCGAATTGCTAATTCTTTATTCCTCGATCGTACCGGCACACCTGTTCGACCTATATGGTCACTCCAAAGATTCCTTTAACGCGAACTTCATGGAAGTCTTAGGTTGTGTGCCGCTTGAAACGAGCACGTCTCTAATCATACTTTATAATATCATTACAACGGCACCCTATTTCTAACAATAATCAATGTCACATAATAATAATTAAAAATCGATCAGAATCATTAAAAAAAAATCTTTGCCGATTGTATCTTATTAGATTTTTATAAAGTACACAAACATATTCTAATCCGTAATTTTCCCTTACCTTTACCACTTTACCGTTCACTTGTCGATCGTTATCCATTTAAATCGATATCATTATCTAACACGTCGAACGCGATAATTTAATATCACGAATTCCTATTCTTTCCAGTATATGTAAACTGCTTTCACTGGCAAGGAACGTTACTATAATGTCAAGAGAAGTGAATGATAAGATCGTAGATAAAATTATTGATCGCAAATTAGCCTTTCGTATATTTAATTCGAACAGGAATTTCAACCAACTTTCATAGTAATAAAATGAAATGATTAAATTTGAATGAAATCATGAACGAAATAAAAATGAAATTATCACATTTTTAAGAGGATTCTATACAGAATTGAAAATCTAATCGAACGGTTGAATTAAAAAAGAATAAAAATCTCTGACGGCTGATGCGTAGCGATCGGTTTCACTTAGAATGCAAACGATCTTTATGATAAAGTTGCAAAAAGATCGATTTACCCGTAAAAGGGTGCAAACCGATAATACGTCTCTTTCTGGTGACTTTGTTATTCAAATTTGAGAAGAAGGAGTGAGAGCTGGAGACGAAGTGACCATGGAAAACCACTTTTGAATACCCAAGTGCTTTCAAACCCTCATACGGAAACCGAACTTCACGCTTCAAGGCTTTTGTCACGTCCGATTTTGTGTTACGATAAAAGCATGAAAAAACTTTATTTTACAATAAATACTAATTTTTTACTAATTTTATAAAAATCTATTTAAATGATCTATAATTTCTCTACTGGAAAAAATGCAACTTCTTCTGAGATGTAAATTTTATCAAATATTTTCAAGAAAGTGGTCACTTTGTTATTCGAATCGAGGGGGTGACGACGCGAACTTCTCTCCTGAATGTTAAAAAGTCGTCTCTCAATCCTGATGCTTCTTCCACATATAACCTTTTTATCCACTTTTCAATTCATGCCTTTGGGTTTAAGAGGAAACCAAAGCAAATTCAAATTTTCGTGAAACAGCTTTTTCAGGGATTTTTAAGCATATTTTTGTGGTTATCTACTGCAAAATATCTTATAAACGTATCTGTTCCGTATCGAAAATTCATTTAAAAAGAAAAGAAACAGACAAAAAATTAGGCTGTTCGATTAAGAAAGATTAATCGTCGTCTCGGCTACTCATAAAATAAAAATGATTTAAAAAAAAAGGAAGAAAGAAACTCGTGAGAAGAGAACGGCGAATGAAAGAAATACCTACCATTATAAAAAGCAAAAGAAAGAAAAAGAAGGAAGATATTCATGAAAATGGTTGAGCGATCGACGAGTGGGTGACGACGTCATTGTTGCTCGCTCCATAAAAGACTAGCAATTAGCAATTAAACCAATAACTCTGCAATTGGTGATTCCATTAATGGACTCAGCGTTCCCACAGAGGACGAACGTTTTTCACTGTTTTTCTTACTGGTCTCCCGGCCTCCCCTACCCCCTACAAAGTTGTACAATTACTTGATAAACGTGTATAATAAGAACTGACCTTTTTTTTTT